TTGGTTCCTTGGTAGTGTTTTAGGCAAGGCTTGGTGATTTCTCAGGAATCTATGGTTGCATGTGATTTTTTTAATGATGAAATTGTGTTGTTAGGTTGTATAAATGGTATTTGGTGTAATGCATGTTGTTTGGAACTCTAAATTTCAGGTGGAATGGTCAAAATCAGTTTTTGCACAAGTGTGGAGATTGATCTAAAGCAAAGTCTCTATCTTACGTCAAACGCATGATCTATGGTATCGAGCGTGAGGAGAGAGACTCATCTAAAGTTGGCATCACATCGGATGTGGGTTTAATGACATCAAGCGCAAGGAAAGAGACTCGTCTCTACTCGGGTTCACGTTGGACACTAGTGTGTGTGGCGTTAGGTGTGAGTTAAGCAAAGAGTTCTCTGCCTAATTGGGGCCGAGTGTGGGTGTCATCATGCCAAGCATGAGATTATAGAGCATTTTTTGCCTTAATTATGTCAGGCGTGAGTAGTGCAACACAGGGCGTGGGTGAAATAGGGGGCTCCTTGTCTTAATGGCGTTGAGCGCCCAATGAGTGGGGTCAAACATGGGTTGTCGGATGAAAAGTTGACTACTTAAAGTTGTTTTGCAGTTGATTAGTGGTGAATAAGTTGTATAAGTGATGTTGTAAGATGATATATGTCAATATGTATAAGTTGAACATGTTGTAAAGTTGTTAATCATTTTAAGTTGCTTAAGTTATTCAGATGTTGCTATCTTAAAGTTGTTCACGTTAAAAAGATGTACGATGTTTAATTCGTTCAAGTTGATAAGTTGTATGTTGATGCATGTTGTGTGATATTTTAAGTTGTCTTATAGTTGAAAGAGGATATATGAACTATATGATGAATGATGTATGATGCTAATTATGTTGTTAAGGCGAAAAATGGTCTATGGATATGTTGACAATGCAAAGGGTTGTACATTGATGTAAAATGTAATGATTTATATGTTGTAAGATGGATGCTAGTAGTTGTTAAAGTTGAAAGTTGTAAAGTTGTTACGTATAGAATGTTGTGTTTATTATTATCGTTAAGTTGCAAGTTAGTATGTTTGCTGAAAGATGAATAAGTTGTTAAGATTTAAGATATGATGTTATGTTGTTGTATACTTAAGATGTAAGTTAAATGATGTTTAAGTTGTAACGATGTACGGTGATAAGTTGTTAAGTTATTAGACATGTGATTGTGATACATGTCTATGTTCAAATATATAAGAACTAAAGGAGAGTTAAAAACGTTCTTGAACTTTAATATCCCATTTTATGGATATACATTGTGTTAAACCCCTTAGCAAGTAAGTTGACTTCTAAACAAGTATATTATTTTCAATTGTCTTGTCTAACTTCTATGTGGTATCTCTATTTGGGTGAGGTTAAGGTATACATGTACAAAGTGATCATAGTATAGGGGCAAGGTCAAGCTATAATGATTACAAGTGACTAATCAGGTAAAGTACGAAGTTGAGAACTTAGTCCATAACCAAGTATCATAACATTGTGGTATTTGGAGAGTAGTCGATGGACTGATCCCATAGGCAACTTAGTGTTGCAAGCTAATATCGTGGTAGTACTATACCCAGATTGTTCTATCTTAATATAGTACCATACTTCCTAGTTTAAATAACAAAACCTGAGAAATAAATCTAGCTTATGCTAACCATTGTTTACAACCTTATGCTAGTCGTTGTTTCTGGCTATAGTGTCAGCTGCTATTTTATGGTATTATACCAGCCACTATGATTCAATAGAGTCAAACCACTTAAACTACTAATCTCAATTGTAGAAGATCTCTATGGTTGATATGCGTAACAACTCATTAGTTGTATATCTACGTTGTTCTATTGAATGTGTTAAGTGAATTGATGTTGTATGAGTGGTTGGATTGCTCTAGTTGTTTGTGACGTGTCAGTACTTATCGTTATTTATGCTACTTGTTACATAACTAGTTTTGGTTATATGTGTATGTGTGTGTATGTATATATATATATATGTGTGTGTGTGTGTGTGTGTATGTGCATATATGTAAATGTTGTTAAGTTGAAAGTGCAAAAGTGTATTAGTTGCTATACAATGAAAGACATGAGCATAATATTGTATGAAAATGAATTATGTTTGATAATTGTGATTAAGTTACCTACGTTATATGGCAAGATATGATATGATGCAATAAATGATGTTCCTTTTAAGTTATTTATGTTGTATATTGTTGTATAACATTGCTTTTGTATCACAAACTTATCTTGTGTTTTCCCTTATGGTTTAGGACTACTATGATCAAACTTGATATAAGAACATGACAACATTAGCAAGCTAAGTTGTGTTATTTGTCTCTTTGATGGTGACTCTCTTTTGGATGTTGCTACCGTGAGGTAAATAGGTCTTGTATAGAAACTTGATCAACGAGTATGTTTATTTTATATACAATAATTACTTTTTTTGGTATAAGGTATGTATATATGTTCAGGAACATATATTTTATTTCTTACATGTATGATTACTAGTAATTTTCCAAGTTTCTAAGACCATGTTTTGATTATATTATTATAATTTTAATTATTCTTAATTTATTTTTAATATTTTAAGTAATTGAATGAATCTATATAATATTTAATTTTTACATTAATAATCTAAATTTCTAGTTGCAAATTTTTTAGATAAGTATATATCATATATTAATGTTTAGTATAATGTTTTAATTACATTATTATTACAAAATACATTATTATTATTATTATTATTATTATTATTATTACAAAATGTAAATATTTAATTTTGAAATCTTAAATGTTTGATTTTGAATTTTTAGAATATATCATATAAGTAAAATAATAGAAATAAAGTTATTTTGAATTTCTAAAATATATATTACAAGCAAAATAATTAACAATAGTGACACTCTCATTGGTCAGAACTTTTCACCGATCAGAACCCTTCATGGATAGCCCTTTTTAAGATGTTTGTTTGCTTTTAGAATCAACAACTAACCCCACAAACTAATACAAGACTTTTTAGTGTGTTTTGTGTAATTCCTTTAAGTCATCCTCAACTACATAATCTCATATTTGTACAATTTCTGGATCCCTCTCACTCTAGTGTGTACCAACATGAGACTTTTTCAGTGTGTTTTGTCCTCACTCGCATACTTTTTGAGAAATTTTTCAAAAGGTCACTCATTCCTAAATTACTCTAAGTCAAACACGCTTCCTTATGGAGTTCTTATTAGATGTACTATCGAAAAGTAAATACATCTTGTTGGTATAAGTAGTACAAATTAATTCTTTAAGTCATCATAAACTGTATAATCTCATACTTGTACAATCTCTATATCCCTCTCATTCTGGTGTGTTCGGGCTGTTACATTACTCAGATGAGATTTACCTGTTTATTGCATGATATTTTAGACATATGCTTGATACTTGTGTTTCCGCTTAGTTGTTGTTGGACCGTAGTAAGTATAATGACCAAGCGAGTCGCTACAACAAATAATGGTGAAAACATGTATTTTAAGTTTTAAAAAATATTTTCTAAGAAAAAGTTTTCAAAATTGAAAACAAAGAAAAAAGTTATTTTTAATATTTTCAACAAAATAAAAATGTGGTGACATAGATTGTAATTATAAAATAATTTCTTTCTTTCTTTTTCGAGTCTCATCATTCCATTATTTGTTCATTAGTAAAAGTAGTGATAGTGATAAAAACAACACAAGTGACAATATTATCACCACCATTATTAGTATCATTATTACCATTGTCGTTGCTATAACCACTACATATCATTATTGTCATGTGACAATGACAACGGTAGTATTGGCAGGATTGTGGTGATGATAAGGCCAATAAGACCTTGTCTTAAGTCCCATTATATATATATATATATATTATAGAGTAATTAAAAAGTTTGTTATTCATTTAAAAATTTTAAAAAAAACTAGTTTAGTTTTTTTAAAATTCAAAATAAAAATGACATTAGAATGAATATACTAATTGAATTTCATGAAAATAATATTATTTGTAAAAAATATTTTAATTAACTGCCAAAATATAAAACGAAAAAGAATGCCATAAGCTAATAGTGAGTCATGCCATGAACTCATGAAGGCTTTGGTTGAATTCCTGTTGTCTTTTCATTTTAAATCGTTCTTCCCTCCAAAATCTTTTAGTTGAGAAACACAGTTCATCAATCACAACCATTGGATCAAAGCATTAAAGTAATCTGAGCTTGGTCTTTTCTTAGAAACTAGGTTGATGAGTGATGACTATCTTTGAGAAGTTTCTAGAGAATATCTTGGAGCGAAATTTAAAAGATGTATCCCAATTCGCAAAGAACAAAAGCATCTTTAGGGTACGGTTATCACTGATCCACCAGTGAAAAGGAAAGACTAAGAGAAAAGGAAGGTAGTGGTAATAAATGTCTTTACTCCAATCCATTGCTCCATATTTATTCCAAATCAAAAAAGCTGAGGAAGTTAGATTTTCCAAACAACAACTAGCATAGTACCATATGTTCGATAATTGTTTGTTGTACACAGTTATTGTATTAAGTCCCATTTTTTTCTCTAATTATAAGCAACATGAAGCATGATTTCATAGTGAGATCAAGAACAAAGCCTCTCGATTTAAGTTATGTGAGCAATTGTAAAGATTACTCCAAGATGCATATGCCCCATGTACATTCACCATTTTCTCCTCCATGACCGAACAAAATCACCGTGATGGAAGAAGGGCCCATGTGCAACGCACATGCACATCACTTCATGTACCATTAATGGGTGGCCCAAACGTTTCTTGTGAAAAACGAAAAAACCCGAAACCAATTTATTAGCAATCATAATTATTAGTACTTAGTGAAAGCAAAAGCAAAAGACCCTTTGATTTCACCCCATTGCTCAAAAACAATTAGTACTATATGTGAGAGAGTGCATTAATTGGAGGGTTACTATTGTGAGACTATTGCAGATTCCCTCAGCCTCACTCCATAAGTACCCCTTTACCTTGTGCCCATTCGCATTCGCCACACACCATCATAACCCAACAAACTTATTTACTTTTTCTCTCTCTGCAATGCCTTCAATGCTTCCCCTCTGCATTGCATCATTGCTCACTCTTTTTGTCGCAACCACTGCTAGAATTCCCGGCGTCTACACCGGCGGTGCATGGCAGGGTGCCCACGCCACTTTCTACGGCGGAAATGACGCCTCCGGAACAATGGGTATGCAAAAAACACATCAAAACCCTAACTTTTCAACTTCATTGTTTTCCATTTCCATACCCACTTGCCATTCTTCAAGCTATTTCGTAACATTTCAACCCAAGTCCACCTTTTTTAATGTTCTAACCTCTACCCATGAAAATGCCTCTTATCAAAGCCACACATCATCAAATTCTTCCTTAAACCGGCCAATTCTGTAACCCCATGTCCGGTTCCCCTGTTCCTTAAAAATGCACACCGCTAGTGTTGGTTATTATTCCACCATTTTCAAGCATAAAAACCATAACTTTATGTTTCACACACTATTTAAAACTGCTTTAAACATGAAAATCACACTAAACCCATATTAGTAAAATAAAAAAACAATGTTTATCCATATTTATTTATTTATTCGATTATCATTGTTAGGTGGGGCATGTGGGTACGGGAACCTATACAGCCAAGGGTACGGGGTAAACACGGCAGCACTAAGCACGGCACTGTTCAACAAAGGGTTGAGCTGCGGCGCGTGTTTCGAGATCAGGTGCGACGAGGATCCACGGTGGTGCAACCCCGGAAGGCCCTCCATCACCATCACCGCCACCAACTTTTGCCCTCCCAACTTCGCTCTCCCCAGCGACAATGGCGGCTGGTGCAACCCTCCCCGCCCCCACTTCGACCTCGCCATGCCCGTCTTCCTCAAGATCGCCCAGTACCGCGCCGGAATCGTCCCCGTCAGTTACCGCCGGTAACTTTATCAAACCCCTTTTATATAATTCGTGTCTCTACGTAATTATATAGAAGAATATATAATTTTTTTTACTATAAAGTGAAGAATTACATGCCCCATTGCCCATTATATAGATTATGCTCTCTAAAACTAAGTAACTTTTCTTCCATGCATTTGGTCAAGGGTATCACAATGACCAAACTAACCTCAAACATTCAACAAATCACAGAAGCATAATCATGTACCTAAAATTAAGGGCACCGGTTCCCTACAAAGCATTTGTTGGGTCACAGCCAGATTTTGGGGCTACGTAAATATAAAATTACGAAAAAGTCCTGGACAGTGATAATTAGTGGAAATATAATAGGAGGAGTATTTTATTATTTTATTATTTTGTTGAAAAATGTTGTGTTATTGTATTTGGGCACAGGGTCCCGTGTAGAAAGGCTGGTGGAATGAGATTCACGATGAACGGTTTCCGTTACTTCAACCTGGTTCTGATCACGAACGTGGCGGGTGCAGGGGATATCGTGCGCGTGAGCGTGAAGGGAACAAGGACTAGTTGGAACAGCATGAGCCGGAACTGGGGGCAAAATTGGCAATCGAACGGTGATTTAGTGGGGCAGGCCCTTTCCTTCAGAGTCACGGGCAGCGACAGGCGCACCTCGACCTCGTGGAACGTGGCACCCTCTCATTGGCAGTTCGGCCAGACCTTCATGGGCAAGAATTTCCGCGTCTAAACATAAAACATTATTAATCCTAATCCTAATCCTAATCCATGTTTGCTTTGCTTTTGTAGTTTGGTTTTTGTTTTCCCGCGTTCAACTTTCCTCTATTTTCCCGGGAAAGTTTGAAGGGGACTGAAAGTGAGTGAGAGAAGAAGGGTAGATTAGAGAAAAAGTGAGTGAGAGTGACTTTAGTATAAATGCTTTAAGTTGGGGTGTCTGTAGATTTTGCTTTTTGGAAGGTGAATTTGACATTTGTGTGTGATATTAATTATTATTACTAAGGTGTATTGGGTGTTGCTGGCATATTTATTACCCAGCAATGCTTTTTGACTTAACGGGGGTGAGGAGGCTGCAACTGCAAGTGCAAGGTTTTCATGTAGCCCGCGTCTCCTTTATTATCAACCACAAAACATTATAATATTATGTAATATTATGTTTCGGTTAATCCATGTATGCCTCTTTCATATGGTTTAATTCCAATGTTGTGTCGGGGATTATTAACTTATTAGACTTTCATTTAGTAACGAAAATAAAAGATTTCAAGGGCTTTCAAATTGAATTGATTGGGCCCCTCAAAGATCGATGGAATTTGAATGCAAAATTTGCCAAGATGCCTCGTCGCAAAAGAAAAATGGTTATGATGGATTATGTAGCTATCACTTGCAAAATCATTGGATCTAAGTTTGATTTTTGAAGACGATCTTGATGTATTTTTTTGGAGAGTGGATTGATGGTTTTGTAACTCTTTATTCAGTGGGTTTTGGTTCTAACTTAAATAAACTTGGGCTTTTTTGGGTATGGTCTGTGCATTGTGGCTCCTTTTGTTCATGTGTTTAGTTAGCTGAAACTAGATGCCATTAAGGTTTATGCGGAAAATCCTCTATGAAGACATTCAAATCCTTGTGGTTTATTCGCCTCTTTCTTACTGTGAGCTTTTTGTCCATGGTTAAGTGTTGATTTGGAATTCTGTCATGGATGGTTAAGCTTTCAGTTGTTGAGCCAATGTCTTGAGTAATTAACCATTGGTTTGGCTTCTGCTCATGATAGTTAAGCTTTGTTGCTTATCTTATTATGGTTAAAAAAAATTCTTTGTTGCTTTTGTCTTTTAGGTGGTTAAGCATATATTAGATAAAAAATCCAATCCAACTCAAAAATAACATTGTGCAACAATAAGAATGAGCTGCAATATACACTCTTCAATTTTAGGTTTTTAGATCATTGTATGGTTGTTTTACAAACTAAATACTTAAATGAGATCATTTTAAAATTGTTTATACTTTTAAAATTGTTTATTACAGTGTTACTATGAGTCATAATGATTCACAATATATGACACATGACTATTTCTTTAATAATTTTTTTAATTAGTGGCTCCACTTTAGTCATGTTGAAGTCATTATAATTGTTAGTATATCATTGTCGTTACCAATTGTTGCCAATCGACTCCAAAAATAAAAATGTATTTTTTTTTTCATTTTGGTCGTTATGTCGCATGACTACTTCAATTTTTTTAAAATTATTTTTGGGTTTTTATGGGTTATAATGACACAAGTTAATACATGATTTTATGAAAAAGAAAACATTTGTAAAAAATTAAGAAAAAAAAGCATTAGTAAACAAAAAAAATGGTCAATTTCTTTTTTCAATTTTCTAATGCAATGGGTCATAAATAAAAAAATAAAAAAGATTGTTCGTTATAATCTATAATGACCTAAAGTTGTTATGAGTCGTAACAACCATTGAATTTTAGTGACCTAATGTCGTTATAGACAGTAGTGGCACATGGTGAGCCAATAAAAAAAACATTTGTTAATAAAAGAAATTGGTCACAATTTGTTTATTTATTTATTTATAAATTTTTCAATGCAATGGGCCATAAATAAATAAAAAATTGGTCATTATGATCCATGATTATGTGCCATAGTGAGACAAATTAGATCACTTTTTTATTTTTTAAATTAAGGTTGCTATAATTCATAAAAACTCCATTTAAAATTAAACTTCTTTTTTTTTTTGGCCCGTAAAAGTTAAAAAACAAATAAATTTATTGGATCATTATGAGTTGTAGCGATAAAAAAAAAAAAAATTAGTCACCTTGTGTTGTTACAATTGGTAACTACTTAAATTAGATCGCTATCGACTATAATGACCTTTGTTTCATGACTCTCGTTACTTAAAAAATGTCATGTGTCATTTTGGTTGTTATGTTTTATAGCGACTCTATAGTAAATAACCCAAAAAGTGTAAATTGTTTAAAAACAATCTCATTTAAGTTATTAAAACAACCTCACTTAAATAATTAGTTTTTAAAACAATCCTACAATGGTTAATTGGTATAAATCTCACATTCTTACATTACAGAAATAGCTAAATAATAGTTGCAAATAGCTAGAATTCTTCTACAATATAATGAGTTGTATAGTGATTATTTTCTTATACTATTTTTAATTCTTTTATTCATTCTTATCCATATGCTAAAGTTGTATATATGATGTACATTTCTTCCATCAATACCTGAGGAAGTTTATTCCAATATCCTATCTTTTATTCATTCTTGCAAGAGCTGAAAGAAAATACCAACACATTCTCAATGTTGCAAGAGCACTCATTTTCAATCACACGTGCCAACTCATTTTTTGGTCTTCTACCGTTAAACATGTCGTCTATCTCATTAATCGTATTCCTTCTCCCATCATTGAAAATAAAACTCGTTACGAATCATTACACAAACAACTACCAGATTTTTCCATGATCAAAATTTTCAATTATTTATTTTATACATCCATATACACATTGTAAAAAATTTGACCTGCGTTCAAAACGTGGTGCATTCTTAGGTTTTCAGAATGGCATAAAAAGGTTACACTGTTTAGGATTTGGATACAAAAGAATTTTTTTTTTCTTCCAAAAATGTGCTTTTTCATGAAATAATATTTCCTTCTACTCTAGATAAAGAGCCCAACCTAACCTTGTCTCGTCCCAGCCCAACTTGGTACTCGCCAAACACTAATTCCCCTTCACCCACTATTAATCAAAAGCCCAAACAAACATACACTAGCCTAAATACACCTCAAACCAATATAGGTCCACATTCACATATAAAAGTGTCTCAGCCCCAAATGATCCTCTCATGTCCAAACCATGTTCCACATCCATGGATAGTGCACTTCGTTTGCATCAAGATATTCCATTGAACCTCTTGTTGATTCGCTTTCCTACTGAAGATTTATTGGTCGTCTATTGTGTCTTACAAGCACACATCCTAATATCACTTACGCCACACAACAATTAAGTCAATTCATGAGCAATCCTACTTAGATGCATTTTTGAGCAGCCACGAGAGTCCTTTGTTATCTTAAGAGCAACCCAAGGAAAATTTTTATGTTCAGGTGTAATTCTCATATCCAAATTTTTGGTTCTAGTGATACAGATTAGACAACTTGTGTTAATTTAAGAAGGTTTGCTGCAAGGTTTATTTCTTGTCTTTCTTGGAAATTCATTTATTTCTTGGAGAACAATGAAGCAAAACACTGTATCTCACACATCATTCGAAGCCGAATATCGAGCCCTTGCTTCGACCATTTGCGAGTTGCAATGGCTGAATTTTGTGCTTAGAGTTACTAAAGCTGTATATATAATGTACATTTCTTTCATCAACAAACAAGAAAATTTATTCCAATATCCTATCTTTCTTCCTTTCATTCTTTCGCTTTTAACACGTTTGCTCATGCTTTATGTACATTTCTACCATTTGCCTTTGGATTGTTTTTAGTTTTTGTATAACTTTTAGCTGATGCATTTCTTGCATCTTTCATTATATTTTGTTTTATTTTGCTGCTTGTATTGCTTATTATACAAAGCTGGAAGTGTTGTGAACAATCCCAACTTGTGGGGGGACTATTAAAAATATAATTGTATAGGAGTTAGTAGAGTTATTAATTTTTGTTGTCTTTGCTGTTACATTTTTGCAAATGTCATTCATTCTCAATAGATTTCATTTTTTCAACTTGATTTATTTCTCTTTTTTTCCTTTTCGAATCATGGATTCTAAAAATCGTTAACAACACATTTTGTAAACACATTCACCCTAACTAATTCAAATTTTTAAAAATTACAAAATCAAGAAAGAATTATTAAATAAAATTTAAAATCCACTAAATTTTGTGATTTTTAATTAAATTTAGTCAATATATTGCGAGTGTGCATTCTAAATAGAGACTAAAAATATCTTGCTCATATTTATCTAATTATAACGGATCATTATTTTTACAAAACACATCAATGTTTAACTTGAAATTTTTTCACTTATTGTTGTAATAATGAAAAATATTTTTATCAATAGGTTGTCCGTTGGAGTGAAATTGGATTTAAATCCTTTAATTAAGATTTTAAATATGATTATTGTGAATAAAAAACTGTAACTTTGAGAGAAGATCACATTAAAGATAATCAAGTTCTTGGAAGAAATTAATTATTAACAAAATTAATAAATATTTTACACATTAACATGATAATCCAAAAAAATCAGATTAAATGTAATATAATATTACTAATAATCAACATTGATATTGACATAAGTGATAATGGTTTGTGTCCCTTAATCAACAGTGGACATTTTATACTAGTATCATAGTTACTCAAAAAGAAAAAAATAATAAAAAGTCTAATATTATTAATACATCTTGAATGAAAATATTATAAAGTTAAAATATATTTAATCATTACAAAATTTAAATAACCAACATTAGTTGGTATGACTTGTGTCTTTTAATCAAGATATTTAGATTTAAATCTTGATTTTGCTTTCAATAATAGCTTTATTACTAAGATTTTTTTAATATAATATTATTAATACATCTTAAATGAGAATATTCTAAAATTGAAATATATTTAATCATTACAATTCAAACATGTTAGCATATATATACCTTTTCTAAATATTATATTAATTTTAGTATATTAGTTAGTGGTCTTATCTATCTCTAAAAAAGTTATACTAATGACAACAAATTTTGATTTAAGATCTTGGATATATCACTTGAATTATTTATTATTAAATTGATTTTAGTGAATTTTCTATATATATATAATGAAAAAAATTATTAAATTGTTTTTTTTAGCGACAATTGTTAATATCTTCGTATTGAAAGTTATACTTAATTTCCAACGCAATAATAGTTACTTTTAGGTAGATATAACAATAACCAAGACAAACTAGTTAATTAAATTATAATTTTAAATTCAAAGACATGTGTTTTTCATTTTAAAAAAGTAATATGTTTTTAATTAATTAAAAATATCCATTTCACTGATTTAATTAATATTATTTTAAAATTTACTTACTCAAATAACACCATATTTGAATTTTATTCATGAATTTCATAATGATACAAAATTAAATTATTATTTATTTTTGTAAGCGTATGTAATTTTTTTTTTAAAAGT